ATCCCAGACCTTAAATGGAAGAATCCCAGTCACAGGGAGACGCTTCTGTATGTATGTGCTATAGTGTGACGACGGTCACAATATGGTTTCATATGGAGTCAAGAATAAGTCCCCAACTGGACCACCTTGGTGGTCTGGTGATTCCGATTCAGCACCTCCCTCAGTCGGTTTCCCTTGAACAAAGCTCCCAAAAAGACATGACTTCCGACTGGGTAGGTCAGCCAACTTCGCAATCCCAAACACACAGGTCGACGCTCCGCAAGTCGGTACTCTGCAAGTCTGCGAACAAGCCAACGACTTCTGAAGCAAGCAAGCAACACATCTTAGCTGAGCAAGACTTTCAGCAAACAACAGGCTGAACATGGTGACATGATCGAAGGTCGCTTGGACACCAACTGAATCTACAGTATATAGATGATGTAACAATGTATACAAATGCAGTCATGAGTCACAGTTTGCGCCAAGCTGCCGGCAGGATGCCAGGTCGCCCGCCTTGGCGCAGGCGTTCAGCAGGCTGTTGTAGTAGGTCTCAGTGGGCACCAAACCAAGAGATCGAACCTCCTGGCGCGACTGGCTTGGTGAAAGCCCGGTTTCTCACGCGTTTTGGGCGGCCAGCAGTGTCCCGACTGGGGCCACGGACGCCATGTGATGAGTGAGCCCTATAGGGCAGAGTATGTCCTGCAATCCCCCTTCATCAAGATGCTTAAATTGATCTCCTTGGACTACTACTTCTTGATGCTTCTCATCCTCACCCCATCCGACCTGCCTCGTCCAGCATCTCTGCCTCCGCCAAATTCGCTGCATGGGCTGCCGAGGCCATGAGCTGCGAGTAGTGCAAAATGCCTGGCGACGCCGCGATGCCGTCCCCACAGGTCTTCCGGTCGTCCCACCGGCACCACGCCGCGGACGGGTCCGTTGGCGGAAGTTCGGACTCTTCCAAAGTCATCGACCTTTCGGGTGGAATCATGATGTTACGTGGATGGTATGGCCGGCGGGTGACCATGACATCCAAATGGCACTGGCGGTGACTATATAGTGGTGAACTTCACTTCCGATGATTATTCCCGGGAGTTGTTCAAGCGGTTTGGGCGGAGACTTTGTCTGCTTGGTTCCTTGCAGGTGAGCTTGACTTCGGACTTCGGACTGCTTGACGTGCCAGAAACCACTCGCCAAAGGGCGTCCATGAGGAACTGGTCTCATGTTGATCACCTGATCCATCCTGACCCTCCCTTCCAAACAACATCCGCCGACGAAACTACGCAGCCCTCAGGGCCCTCCCTTGACATCTGTGATCATCGAAAAGGGGCCCCTCCTGGCTTGATGTTGTCCCGCTCCATTTGTGTCATCCAGGCTCTCCTTAGCAGCTATCGAGAATCAGGCAAAACAAGGTGCACGAGATCCACTGATGTTGGTTCAAAGTAGCCGAATGCCGCCAGTGCAAGGTTTAAACATGTTGAAGCAAGGTCCAAAGATGCACAACACATTGCAAAAACTGCCAGAAATCATAAATTGGAACCTTAATTTCTATAGGGGCGTCCAGGTTGAAACTCCCACGAGCCCCACGATGGGGGAATGTGATATGAACGAGCAAGCCGCATGAAATAGTCGACACTCTAACCACGATTCAGTTTGCCTCTTAGTTTGCTTCCACTCCAGTCCACTCCAATTAAAGTCCATCAATGCCCAATCTTCAGAATCTCTAGTGCCCACTCCTGACCAAAGGACACACCCAATTGTCCGACCCTGGCCCGAAGTCACATCTTGATCTGAACACCCACACCACACTGCTGTTCGTGCAGCTATATCGACCTCCCAGCCCTAGGGCTTCAGCCGTACCTCCTCAAAAGGTATGACTGGACCCTCCACCGGGCGGGCCGGGCCCGAGTTCGACCACGGGCGCGGTCCACGGGTCCAAGGCTCGCAGTGGGGGTCTCGCCACGCTTGGCCGCCGCTTCCATGAGCTTCCCATAGGTCTTGGCGTTGGGCACCACTTGCGCACCTCGGGTCGACCCCCTCCGCGTCTCGACTCAGAGGTGGGAGCGGACGCCGGAGACGCCGGAGGAGACGTGGCTTTGGTGCTCGTCTTGTTGCTCTTGGTTTTGTTGGAGGTCACTGGGGTCCCAAGACCTCCGAGATACATGGATTATATCATGATAATTCATGATATATATATATATATATATAGGGCCTGAAGGTAGGGGAACTTTGGAGATATAATATCTGCCTGGGGGTGCTATATTGGGTGCCATTCCTCCGCTGGATGGGTCTCCACCCTGACATGAAACTGGTATGGGAGGCCTTCCAACTAATCTCCAAGGTAGGGGCTGAAAGAGTCCCATTGGTCATCGGATATCTGTTGATCTTGTCCAACAAAACGCCATCAAAGCCCGCCACTTGGATGGCCAAACATCATCAAACATCTCCACATGGGGTGGCTTTATGAATCAACTGTCACCAGGACTCTTCTTTAAGGCTGGGCTGGGCTTCTCCCAAAGCTTTACATGACCGAAAGCGGTGGGGTGCATTTCCTGCAAGGTGTCAGCCAACGACCCTTCCGAATGGTATCAGCTTCTGACCTGACTTCCCAGCGCAATCAGTGGTGAACATATGGGAACCTGTCATCCTTGTGGGTTCATTCGTGCGTGTGTTTTGCCGAGGGCACTGCGATGATAAGGTCGAAACGGCTGTCGATTTGGGCAGACTATGGAAGAATTTAGGGCACAGTTTCTGCCTGTGGCAGTTGGCGAAGGCGTCAACACCAATGTCCACTGCGTCTGGAATGGTCAAGCTTGTCAAAGAGGTGCAGCCTGTGGTTCACAGACAGAGTGAAGGATGGTCAAGCTCACCAAAGAGCTGCATTTCTCAAACTGAGAGAGGGCGCCCTTCCCAATATGAGCCACTGAGCTTGTGATGGTCTTCACGAACGGAGGACACTCTGAAAGGAAGGAGTTGCAACTCTGGAAGGCATGATCTGACACACGGGTCATGGAGTCTGTGGTCAGGCAGCATGATGTAGCATGGATCCGAAAGCAACCCGTCACTTGTCAGAAAACAGGAAAATCTGTTCTGGTCATCAAACCTGGACAATTTATGATATTTATGTTTGATCCACCAATAGACCACCTACACTACTTGTGGGCTTCCATTGGGCACCAATTGGATGTTCTGGAATGGTTTTCATCTTAAAATGTGTTCTTCTCCAAAGAGCTGCGTCGATGGTATGAGGGCCGTCATTAATGCTCACGGCATTGGTCAACTCTACAAACGATGATGTTCATCGAAGAAGACCATAGATGGTCAGGTGCCATGAGGAGCTCTCAACTCTTGCCTTACCCAAGCACGAACCCAATGTTTACAGTAAATGTATTGTGATGTCTATAGAGTTATGGGCTTGTGGTCCTGGTAATTGATCTTTAGAAATGAGGGCACTCTGAGTCCTCTTTGTCCAATCCGGCATGGGCAATTGGAAAACCAAAAAGTCTTCAAAAGGGGAGTTCTAGCGTTTTGTTTTTTTGCACGGAGTTCAGGCCATCCTCTGAGTCTAGGACCTATATGCCAGCACCCTCCCTGCCAGGTCACCACCACTTTTGTCAGTCAGTCAAAGCCTCTATTTCGGAGACCTGTAGAGTCGGGTGCTGATAGATGGAGCTATAGGTGTGCTTCGGAGGCACTCAGTGCCAGTCGAGGCACTCAGCATGGACTTGTAGAAGACTCGGGCGTTGACTTCCTGACTCGTGGGCGGTCCGCAGGACCGTGAGGCGCCGCAAAGAGAGATGAACCAAATCAATAGCCGTTTGTTACCTCTAGACAGACTTGAACATCACACACATCCAAAGATAAAATCAAGACTATATAAACATAAATCAAGACTAGCCGTTGGGCCCCTCCACCCAGTTGGCAACACCCAACTGGATCCAAACAGGTCCAAATGAATAGCATCTCTTCAATCTCTTTCCCCTAAGATCCCACTCCCACACCATCCACTCATCCCCACATCCCCACACTCCACTCTCATCCACTCTCATCCACTCTCATCCACTCTCATCCACTCCCATCCACTCTCATCCACTCATCCTTCCCGTGCTCTTTTCTTCCTCCGCTCGGCTCAAGAACACGCCGTCCGTTCGACTGGAGCCATCGATACGGATCGTCTGGGCGATGGGATGGAGGCGCTGTGCCAAGGCCTCGACCTGGCGCAACGATCCGGCCAAAGGGCGAAGGCGCTTCTGCTTGCCACGTGCTTGACCAGCATCCAGGACCAGCATGAAGCAATCCTGAGAAGGGGATTTACACCAAAAAAAAAACATTTTGGGGTGAAGGAATTCATGAAGGCCATGTATTTTGTCCATAAGGTTGAACAGTTCCTATCCGCTAGGCCATCCACCCTACAGTTAATACATCTGGACACATTCTGTTCATGCATGAGATTTCATGAAATTGGAGATCATCAGAGTCATCCTTATCTCATCTGCCTTATCAGGCCATGGTTCCGCTTTTGGGGACGCGCAGCACGCAGAAAACCCCAACGAGTCATCATCGTCCTGTGATCCGATCCCCCCCTTAAAGGATCCCAGCCAACCCCCCCCGCAGGTGCTGTGTGTCCGTGGGACGCGCGTCCATGCGTGAGCTCATGTGACCCGGTCCGTCCTGCGATTCCCAAAGATCTTGCAAGAGCTCCAGCGGGGCTTCCCCGCCTCCGCGGCCACTTTCCAGAAGCACGTGGGAAAAAATGATCCTCGGCACGCCCCCCTGTTCCGCCGGGCGCCGAACCCCCAAAGGGAGAAACCACTTGGCAGGGTGGCCCGTGGTCCGAAAGCGCATCGCCAGGTGGTGCCCAGTTGGGACCAAGTGACTCAAACATCATGAACTTAAGAAAAACACATTCCCATCGACAGAACTGACTTCGTCAAGCCATGTCGACATGTTGAGGCATGTGAATATTTACCGAAAAGCAAGGCCTTGGTCACAGCCCGCTGGCCAACAAGTCCTCTACTTCTTGCCCTTTGGTCAGTCGGGCTCCCGAGCTTTGGCCAAGGCTCAAATCATACGCGGCCTCTCGCAGCGCTTCATTGGCATCATCAGCCAAAGGTTTCGAGACATCGCAGTGATGATATGATATCTCTTCACCTCGGTCCACGCCGAGCCGTCGGCGACAGCGCTACAGGCACCGCCCAGCGCGTCCGCAATGGCGCCGGCCCCACGCCTGCCACCGTCAGACCTCTCAGGCCCTCTGGTCCTGAAAAATTGCACAAAAAAACCATCTGGTCCTGGAGATTGTCCCAAAACCTGGTCCTGTCCTGGAGTGGTGTCTTTTTCTTTGCAACTCCTGCGCTGAAACCTTCAGCCAACTCGCCCGTCACGGTCACACCACGTTGTGACGTGGTCCGAGCGGTCGGTCAGAAGGTATACTTGGACCCTCCACACCTGCATCAAAGTGTCTCTAATCACCTTGTCAGAAGGTATCCGGATCGGGACCCATCGGGACTCAGGGATTTCCCAACATCATGGGAGCGCATATGTTCCGTGTGGCCTCCACAGGCGCACTGTGCACCGAGCGAAATAGGCCCTCAGAACAGGAGATGGCCAGTCACTGCGCTTTTTGGAATTGCCATCTTGCCCGCCCGCCCAGCTCCGAAAATCGCTTCGCGTCACCCAGAAGCTGCGCAACGGCTTGCACGATGGGGTTCCAGGTGGGCACCCACTCATAGACCGCCAGCGTTCCAGGACGCCCACCCAACAAGTCTCGACTCACCGCGGCCGCAAACCTCCGTGCCGAGCGACCAAAGGCGTGAGTCGCGACCAAGTCACATCCGTCTATCCCAATAGGAGTCCCCGGGGACTCCAATCACATCTTCTGGTGGTTGCGGTGGGGTGGGTTTGGGGTGTTTTACTAGGTTATTCTACAAATGAGGTTGGAGCGCCTACTCGATCCCTGAAGAACATGGAGCTTCATGGGTGCGTGGAGTTCACCACCTGTTAAAAGAGGAACTGCGCGGATGTCATGGCCATGCCATCCACGTAACCATGATGAGTTTAGGGGGGGTATGTTTTTGAGGTGTTCCTCAAGCAGGACATCCACCCTTATGGAAAACAGGGCGTGGGTTTGACATGGTGCAACCTGCCTCATCCCTTGCTAATACATGCCTTGATTCTTCAGAATCTCTTTAAAACTTTAAGGATTGAATCTTCGGAATTCAGACAAGTCCCATTGGAAAAAATGAATTTCACCTGCCTTGAGCCCTGGAGTTGCCTCATCCCATCACTATACACTACACTTCAAGTTAGGGCAGTTTTTTCGGGGGACAGTCAGACATGGAAAACAACATAAGATATCATAAGATCATAAGATCTATTAAATACTAGCTTACCCTACAAGTCCAAGGGCCAAGTTAAACCTGGTCCTTGACCTGATTGAGTACTGGTTTTGTATGACCGGATCCAGTCACATGAGGTCCTTGACCTGTAGGGTTATGTAACAACACACTCCCCGAAACTTTCATGGTTACATGGCTGGCATGGCCCCGACCATCTCGGATGACCTTCGGATTCAATCCGAAGACTGGGCACTGGGGACCTGGGTACAGTCCTATTAGCTGTTGCCATCCACGTAACCCTGGACCCAGTCATCCTCGGAGTGACATGTCAATCCAGGCGGCAACTCTGCCGCTGGGCCCCCACCCATCGCAGCCACGCGCAGGGATCCACCCATTCGCTGCTTCAGCTGGTCCGGCGCAAAGGACCGCAGTGCATTGAAGGCCATGGAGGAACGCAACACAAACCTCAGCGCCACCATGTGCGACACAGCGCAACACCGCGCAAAGAATGTACGAAAAAATGATGAAAGGCCCAGGAACATATGACAAAATTTGGCAAACCACATGTGTTGCAGGTCTAAAAGCCCAGTAAGACCAGCTTTTGTTACCGTCCGTAAGAGTGTCTTTGTATTGTTCATGAGGTCCTTGACCGACCGTAGGGTGTTCAGACCGACCGGGTCGGGTTTTCAATGCTTGTTGAAGAGTTCGGCCACACCTTCGACACACCTCACGTGGAGGCCACGCGACGTCCTGTGAAGGGCGGAAGTTGTGGAACGTCGGAATGACGGGAATGACGGGAATCGGATGGTCCCTGTCTAGGAAGGTCGATCATGTAGACTCTTGATTGATCAAGTCCACTATATATACGTATATATATATACACCGTATATATACCGTATATATCCATATATATATATATATCTATATGGGTACCTGCAAACGCAAACTCATCGTTGCTGATTCATTCATGTCACACTCCCTGAACAACATATATAGACATGGAGTTCACCACCTCTTTGGTATAGGGGTGATCCCAAATCGGGGCAATGCCATGCATGTAACCAAGATGGTTTCGGGGAGTGTACCAACCTGCGGGAACCCTGAAGCCGGACAAGTCCCTGACAACCAAGGTAGAGCATCGGCCACTGAGCGTCAGTCTGGAACCGACTTCATGCAGCTGCTTTGGTGCAAACAAGAAACTTTTCTTTGGCATACCCCCCAAAGAGCTTCAACATCCTCAAAGTGCTCCGGCTGTTGCTCACATCTTCCTCATGCCGACTTCGTACAACAACAGCGGGGCCACTCTCTCCCGATGCGACCAGGATTAGTGGGGAAGAGAGCACTGAAGGTGACCACCTGTGGCAATTGTGTCTAGTAGACTTAAGGGTAGCAAAATCAACAACAACAACAACAACAACAACAACAACAACAACAACAACAACTAAAACTAGAACTAACACAACAAACAACAAACAACAAACAACAAAAAACAAACAACAAACATCAAACAACCAACAACAACACCAACACCAACACCAACAACACCAACACCAACACCAACACCAACACCAACAACAACAACAACAACAACAACAACAACAACAACAACAACAACAA